GGGCCTTGGACTTGAGAAGTGGGGGATTGCTGAGGGCGTGGCTGAGAGAGAAGTCAGGTCATGGCAGGAGAGTTCAGGGACCGCCTCTCAGGGCTGGGAGTCGCGAATGAAGGCAGGAGCAGCCTGGTGGGAGTAGACCTCCCTGGCCAGTGGAGCTGCCAGTGGCCCTACCCTGAGATGTGCGGTGTGGGAGGCTGGGCCCACAGGGCAAAAGGCTGGCCTCAGCCCATGTCAGGGAGGAGGCGGAGGGCATGGGGACGGGGACCAGGGGTTGGCAAGCTCGGGTGGGCTCTGCCTGCGGTCGGCCGCGCCTGGCTCCCACTCGTGTTGTGCTGTCGTCCTGGAGACGCTCAGGGCTGCAGTTCTCAGATCACCTGACCCGGCTCCAGGTACCCGGGTTGCTGCAGCCGGGGCTGAGAACGTCTCTAATCTGACCCCATTTATTCCTGTTTAGGACAGGGAGTAGTAAAACCGCGTCAAATGTGATTATAGAGTCACAGAATTCTGACAACGAAGAGGATGAGCAGTTTGTGGTAGAAGCTGCCCCTCAGCTCTCTGAAATGTCAGAAATGGATCTGGTGAGTTAGCCGAAGTGCGGCGTCTTAGAATAATTCTGTTTATTACATTGGAATGAATGCTCTAGCCTTCACATTTCTGTAGCCAGGATTTTCCCGTGCTGCTTTCTTTAATTTGGTCATTCCATTCTGAGGCCCACAAAGCAGGATCTTGAGATTTCGGCAAGCCCGACTCTGCTTTTTCCCCTTATTTTCCTGCTCAGGTACCAGCAGTGGAACTGGAAGAAGACGAGAAGCACGGTGAGTCCTGGGTGTGGGCACACGTACATGCGTGTATACGTGTGTGTCTGCACGTGTGTGCGCATGTGTACGTGCACATGTGTCTGTGTGCGCGCGTGCACATCTGTGTCTGTGTGCGCATGTGCATCTCCTCTGTGTGCTTCAAAAGGAGCTGAAGCAAGTGGCTGTCACATGCCAGGCTCTGGTCTGCAGTCAGGTGGGCAGGACCTTGGCCCTGCTGCCGTGGACCCCTCCGCGTTCTGGGAGGTGCCGGGTAGGAATGCCTCCCCTAGAGGGTTGGAGGCACCCAGAACCTGGGGGTTAGTGGGGAGCTGCTGTGCAGACCCTGGGACCTGGAGGTTAGTGGGGAGCCGCTGTGCAGATCCCGGGACCTGGAGGTTAGTGGGGAGCCGCTGTGCAGACCCCGGGACCTGGAGGTTAGTGGGGAGCCGCTGGGCAGACCCCGGGACCTGGAGGTTAGTAGGGAGCCGCTGTGCAGACCCTGGGACCTGGAAGTTAGTGGGGAACCGCTGTGCAGACCCCGGGACCTGGAGGTTAGTGGGGAACCGCTGTGCAGACCCTGGGACCTGGAAGTTAGTGGGGAACCGCTGTGCAGACCCCGGGACCTGGAGGTTAGTGGGGAGCCGCTGTGCAGACCCTGGGCCCTGCTGTGCAGACCCTGGGACCTGGAGGTTAGTGGGGAGCCGCTGTGCAGACCCCGGGACCTGGAGGTTAATGGGGAGCCACTGTGCAGACCCTGGGACTTGGAGATTAGTGGGAGCTGTTGTGCAGACCCCGGGACTGGAGGTTAGTAGGGAGCCGTTGTGCAGACCCCGGGACCTGGAGGTTAGTGGATGGGGAGCCACTGTGCAGACCCTGGGACTTGGAGATTAGTGGGAGCTGTTGTGCAGACCCCGGGACTGGAGGTTAGTAGGGAGCCGTTGTGCAGACCCCGGGACCTGGAGGTTAGTGGGGAACCTCTGTGCAGACCCTGCAACTGGAGGCTAGTGGGGAGCCGCTTTGCAGACCCGGTTAGTGGGGAGCCGCTGTGCAGACCCCGGGACCTGGAGGTTAGTGGGGAGCCGGAGGGCAGACCTCCTTTTCTCTCCATTTCTTCTTCCTTTCCCTCTAGGTCTCCTTCTCCTCCCCTTCCCTCCTTTTCTTTTTCTACCTCCACCTCCTCTTCCTCCTCCTTTTTCTCTTCCTACTTCTAATTTTGCCACAGGACACCTGTGCTCGCTGGAGAGCGAGAAAAAGTGAGAAAGCACTCCCCAAGGGCATGGTCGTGCTTACACTCCCTTCTCCATTTCTCCCTCCTCTTGGGATTTTCGGGCATGCATGCATGTGACCCAGCATGTTTGTCAAGCTGCCAGGTCTGAGACTCGAACCTCATAGTTGGCCATGCGGGATCCAGCTGCCCTAACCACCTTGCCACCAGCTGGCCCATTGGCCTGTTTCTTATCCGTACCATTAGACAGTGAAACTGGGTGTCTTAAGTCCTCCTGATGTCTGCGGTCTGTGATGTCCCTTGTTTCATTTCAAGTGCTCATAGGTAGCATAGAGTCACTCACGAGCCCCCACCCCTGTGTGTCACGGAGCTCATCCCCTTCTCTCTCAGCCTGGAGCTGCATGGCCCTTCTCCACCAAGACCGTTTCCAGATCCCAGACATCGAATGCATTGTGTGTATCATTAAAAGATAAGGGCCCTTTCCAAAACTAGCAACTGCAATCCCCTTGCTTTTCATAATCACTAATTGCTTGATAGCGTCAAGTTCCCGTTTCTCCGGTGTTCGTTCTGATCTTGTTTGTTGTGGCAGGGTCCAGGTACGGTTCATGCCGTGTAGCCCTGGGTCTGGCCCTCCTGTATCCCTTCCCCTGTGTGTGTCTGGGGAAGAAGCTGGAGGCCGCCCCCCACGCGGTGGCGCACTCCACCGCATTCCTGTTCCCTGTGTCCTGCGTGCTGTTCTAGGAGACGCGATCTGATCAGCTTTTCAGCAAGAATCTGCTGTGTGCCGGGGGCCTCCCAGTCTGACCAGCTGCAGGCGATGTTGGCCTAGATCTCGTTTTCCCAGGGACCATGATGCAGGGCCCCCACCTCCTTCCTCGTTACCCAGCGAGAGGTCTTGGTGGTGTGACCCAGCCCTCCTGTGCCGTCCCCTAGGCGTTAGGCCACCCGAAGCCCGGCATCTGCAGGGGAGAGGGCACCGGGCCTTTGCTACATCCTGGGAAACTCCGTGGCTTCTTTGCTTTGGGATTTGATAAGATGTTTCGTGCACTTCCACCACGAATCTGCTGTGTTTCTCCAAGGAACCTGGCTGCCCACCGTGTGGGCGAGTCAGTGTTCTCAGCATTTCCCTCAGAGCAGGGATCTTCTTTTTTTTTTTTGGAGAGGTTTTTGCTGTAGGGCGCGTGGGCTCGCCAGAAAGACAAAGAGAGACAGAGAGATAGAAAGTGAGAAATCATCCCCCAGGGGAGATGGCCATGCCGCAATCCCTTCTCCTCCATTCTTCTCTCGGGATCTTGGGCACGCACGCACACGCGCCTGGCATGAATTTAAGCCACCAGGTCCGGGACTCGAACCGCGGTCGACTACACGGGAGTCCAGCGACGCAGCAGCCATTATGCCATCTGCTGGTCCAAGGGATATACTTCTTCATTTCATTTAAAAAAAAAAAATCAGTTCATAGCGATGTTGCCAGTTCAGATTTGGGGGTAGGGTGTCCACATTCTCTGGTTTCCCACATGCATGTCTCTGAGCTCCTGCTGAGCCAGCAGCTCCCTGCAGCATGGCCGTTCGTGTGTCTCAGCCCGCACTGCGCACACGCAGCCACTTTAGGGCCCTGGCAAGTTAGG